AGCGACAAAAAAAACTACAAAAAAGCCATAAAAGGAACACACATAATAAAAACAGAAAAACTGGTCCAACAAATCAACAAATAATGTTAAAATGGTTGAGTTGATTAAAAATCAGAAGAACAGGCGAAGACAGGAGAAAAACGTCAAAATAAATAAAAAAAATCACAAAAACATATTTTGAATCAAAAAAAGAGGAACGAAGCTACAAAAGAGGTGAAAAAAGGGGGCAAAATAGACTATGACAAAAGAAAGAAAAATTGTAAACGACAAAAAAAAAAGGTGGACAAAGAAGGAAAGCGCAACAGAAAAACAAAACGACAAAATATTTTGCACAAAAACGTGTACAAAAAAAAAAGGAAAAAAGCTTACAAATATTTGCGCTAAAAAAGAACAACAAAAAAGTGAGATTAAAACAAATGTCAAAACGAGGCGACAAAAAAAGGGAAAACAAGTGAATGAAAAAGCCACTAAGAAAGGTAACAAAAATAGGCCAAACAAAAAGGCAAAAGGAAAAAAAGATCAATAAAAATCTAAAACAAAAAAGGAACGAAGAAGTGAAAAACATGCCAAAAAAGTTAGCTTCAAAAAAAAACGACAAAAACATGACTAAAAAAGGTAGAAAATCTATGACAAAAAAGTGGAAAAAACGGTGACCAAAAAGAAGACGATAAGAAACGGGTCAAAAAATAGATCACAAATAAGTGACACACAAAGCGACCAAAAAAGAGAGATTGAAAGAAAGTATCACAAAAATGACAGAAAAAGACCAAAAAAAAGCTATAAAAGGAACATTACGATAAAAACAGAAAAACTGATCCAAAAAAAATCAACAAATAATGTTAAAACGGCTGATAAAAAAGCAGAACAGGGGAAGACATAAGAAAAACGCCAAAAAAATGGACTATAAAAAAAAGGAAAAAAAAACATGACAAAAAAAGAGGAGAAAAAGGGAAAAAACAGAAAAACAAAACGACAAAACAATCAAAAGATTCTGCATAAAAACATTTAAAAAAAAAGAAACAAAAAATCTACAAATATTTGCGTTAAAAAAGAACAAAAAAACGGATTTAAACAAAAACCTAAAAACGACGCTACAAAAAAAACTGAAAGTGTACAAAGAGTGTAAAAAAAAATGTGATAAAAAAAAAACAGTAAAAGAGGCGACCAAAATAGGCCAAAAAAAAAGTAAAAAGGGTAAAAAAAAAGTGGACAAAATACGAAAAAATAACAAAAACAAAAAACATATCAAAAAAGGGGCGAAGTAGTGAAAAAAATGCTAAAAAAACTAGTTAAAAAAACACGACTAAAAGAAAGGTAAAAAAATGTGTGAAAAAAAGTAGAAAAAAACGACGACGAAAAAAAAATACGATAAGAAACAGGACACAAAAAATAGATCACAAAGAAGGGAGAAAAAGCTTACAAATATTTGCGCTAAAAAATAACAACAAAAAAGTGAGATTAAAACAAATGTAGAAACGAGGCGACAAAAAAAAGTGAAAACAAGTGAATGAAAAAGCCACTAAGAAAGGTGACAAAAAAAAGGCCAAACAAAAAAGCAAAAATCGAAAAAAGGACAAAAAAAAACGAAAAAGGAACGAAGAAGTGAAAAAGATGCCAAAAAAGTTGGTTTCTAAAAAGACGACAAGCACACGATTAAAAAAAAATAAAAAATCTGTGACAAAAAAAAACGAATATAAGAAATGGAGCAGAAAGTAGATCAAAAATAAGTGACAGAAAGCGACATGAAGGATTCAAAAAATTCTACAAAAAAGTATTATAAAAACAACAAAGCCATAAAATAAGAACAGAAAATCTGATTAAAAAAAAATCAACAAATAATGTTAAAACGGCTGATAAAAAGGCAGAACATGGAAAGACCTACGAAAAACGCCAAGAAAATTTTAAAAAAATCCAAAAAATTACGACGAATCAAAAAAGAGAAACAAAGATACAAGAGGCAAAAAAATGGAGCAAAATGTACTATAAAAAACAGGAACAAAAAAATGTAAAAACAGGACAAAACAGGTGGACAAAAAGGGAAAAACTAGAAAAACAAAATATTCTGCATAAAACATCTTAAAAAAAAAGAAACAAAAAATCTAGAAATATTTGCCTTAAAAAAGAACAAAAAAGGCGGATTTAAAGAAAAAGGTAAAAACGAGGCGACAGAAAAAGTGAAACAAGTGCTTAAAAAAGTGTAAAAAAATGTGATGAAAAAGCCAGTAAAAGAAGCTACAAAAGTAGGCAAAAAAATATAAAAAAAGAGAAAAAGTGGACAAAATACGAAAATAGAACAAAAACAAAAAACATCAAAAAAGGAGCGAAGGAGTGAAAAATATGCTAAAAAAACTAGTTACAAAAACACGCCTAAAAAAAAGATAAAAAAATGTATGACAAAAAAGTACAAAAAAGACGGCGACAAAAAAATACGATAAGAACGGGACAAAAAATAGGTCACAAAGAAGTGACGACAAGGCGACAAAAAAAGGGATTAAAAAAATGCAACAAAAAAATATCATAAAAAAGGGACAAAAAAGACCACAAAAAGCCATAAAAGGGACACCACAATAAAACAGAAAAAATGACACAAAAAAATCAACAAATAATGTTAAAAAGGTTGGTAAAAAAAAATAGGAGAACACAGGAGAAAAAGTCAAAAAAACAAAAAAAATCACAAAAATATATAATGAATCAAAAAAGAGGAATAAAGCTACAAAAAAAGTCGAAAAAAGAAGCAAAATGGACTATAAAAAAACAATGTAAAAATGACACAAAAAAGGTGGACAAAAGACGAATAAAAAAGACGACAGAACATTCTGCACAAAAACGTGTCAAAAAAAAGAAAAAAAGAAGCTACAAATATTTGCGTTTAAAAGAAAAACTAAAAAGCGAGTTTAAAAAAAGGTAAAAACGAGACGACAAAAAAAGCGAAAAAGTGTACAAAAAAGCGATTAAAAAGGTACTAAAAAAGTACCGGAAAACTACAAAAAACATCAAAAATGGTGGCAAAAAGTGACAAAAAAAGTCCAAAAACATTCCAAAAAAGACACAATAAAAGAATAGGTATCCAAAAAATGAATAAAAAAAAAACGTTAAAAAAGCTACAAAAACGACAGACAAAGGCGAAAAAAAGGGGGAAAATAGACCACAAAAATTAAAAAGGGTGAAATAACAAAAGAAAAATGAACACGCGGCGAGCATGAAGAGGAAAACGGTGAAAAAACATGGAAAAAAACACCAAAAAAAGAGAAAAAAATGCGACAGATTATTGCGACAAAAAAAATGACGAAAAATTTACAACAAGAAACACACGACAAAAAAGCAGTTAAAAAGAGGTAAAAAAATGACAAAACAAAAGGTGAAACAAAGAGCCGACAAAAAAGCAATAAAACAGGGGACAAAAATAGACGTTGAGTCAAAAAAGCATCACAAAAGACGACAAAAAGAGGCGCCAAAAATGCCAAAGAAAAGGACTAAAATACGCGAGGAAAACACTAAAAAGTGACGAAAAAAGACAGAACAATTCTAAAAACTATAAAAATGCCACAAAAATGTTACAACAAAAACCAAAAAAAGGCCAAAAAACGTTACTAAATAAAAGAGATTTTTTTCATAGATTACGAAGCTGATATCACTTACGTTTTACCCCTTGAAATAGTCGAAAAAACAGTTTTACGGCCAAAAAACGTTACTAAAAAAAGAGGTTTTTTCATAGATTACGAATCTGATATCACTTGTTTTACCCCTTGAAATAGTCGAAAAAACAGCTTTTCAAAAATTGTGAAAAGTGTCTCCTTATATATAGAGAAAAAAAAATTGTAAGGAAATCTTCGCAGATCACAAATCTGGAGTCAGTTTTGTTCTACCTCTTCAAATAATTCAGCAAAATAAGAAAATATTTTTTAAGTATAAACTGCGCACATTTGAATGAAAAAAGGAAACAGTTTATTGAAAATTCTGTGGATGTTAGGAGTTTGAAACCATATCTAATCGAAAAAATTTAGAAAATATTTTTCAAAAATTTTAAAAAATGTTACATTAGCTTGCACTGGAACAAGAAAGGCTTTAGCATGATTACAATGACCATCAATAATTTACAAACAATTCTCTGTGAACTAGTCCATAGACATATATTTTTGAAAATTTTTGGAAATTATGTTCCCATTTTTCATGTTCAAAGTATGCGTAAAACTCTCCATTAAGTAGTACTGTTTTCACTGAAAAGCGAGCGTTTGAATAATTTTTTGAATATTTTTGGATTAAAAACAGTTTTAAATTTTCTCGGATTTGTGCTTCTGTTCACAGGCGGTGATCTGGATTTTAAAAGAATGATTTAACCGACAAATGGAAATTCGCCAATAACCTCCACGAATACTGAAAATGCCGAAAATAATCCTAAAAAATCTGTACTTCTACTTTAGGCGAAAGTTTTTCGATGACGTTGAATTGGTTGTCAAACACCTGCAATTTTCTAATTAATCTTCTTCATAGGTGGTTATTCCGAAGCAATTTCATCACTCATTTGAGGCGAAACATCCTGCTATAGTGTCTCATACATATTTATAAGTATATTACCTTCAAATTAATAGGTAGCGTAAATTAACACCGAAAGTTCTCTAACGACTTGAGAATACCAATTTAGAGGAGCTTGCAAAATTAATGATTTTCAGTAGCCTCGAAAAAGGAAAAATAACATTTTTTTTTAATTTTCGGAAACATTTAACCAAGAATTTAACTCTCTCTAGAGTCATTTTAAATAGTTTCATCAAACAAAACTTGCGTTAATGCACCTCCAGGAATGATAATTAAAACAAAAGGGACACCATCCACTTAACAAAGAATTTTACAATTATAGCAAAATTAATGAGAACATATTCAACTTCCGCATTACCAAGAAACACAACGAATTGCCTCTATCACTTACAGCAATTGAATTTCACAGAACCCCATTCGAGCATGTATATATATGTAAGAAATCTTGTCTCTATTTTATCGTCCTCCAACATGCACTCTGCAACCACATTAGGAGTCCTGATTTTCCACTCTTTGTGTGTGGAACGTATAAGTTTCCTTTACTTTCGTCACAATCTCACCATTACTGTATCTTTTTTTTTTTAGTGTATTCGGTAAAATACTGTTATCAAATCCACTGCACGGACTTGTGTGCCTCGGACATCCAAGTCGAGACCTGCCAAGATCCACATTCACTGTGCGGTTCGACCACACTCGTAAGATTTTCCCATTTATAATTTTTCTATATGTATTATATTGTTGTATAAAAATCAGCTGGCAGCTCCGAACGCATCAAGACATGCGTCCCCACCGACTTCATACCCTACTGGATCGACCAATGCCGCACTCACAACGACATCGGAGGCTCTTGCTATTTATGCAACGAAGAGCTCTGTAATTTCCAAGACTCAATAAAATTCCATTAAAATCGTTTTACTGTGTATGCGTTGCGTGCTGTGTCGGTGCGTTAAGACAAAGAATACAGTTAAAATATAATGATGATCGGAATCGGAATAAAAAAGGAAATTACCGGTGGGAAGTGGGACGCTGGCATGAACGAGACGACAAAAAGGCAAACTCCTCGTAGCACAGACGAGCATTAACTAAATCGTAAAATTGTACCAGGTTATGGGCGATTTTTTTCGGGGTAATTACCTGCGTAATTATACACCAAAGCAGGTACCCGTTAACGACCGGGTTTATGGGTTTTCAATAAAAGGAACGTGGAAGTTGCGAAAAAGTTGGTTTAATGGGTGCTTAAATCAACAACAAAAAAGGGGTGAATCTTGTCGTCGCCATGGTCCAGGGCCATATTGTGCAGTTATAGTGCTCAATACACATTTAGGTTATAAAGTAGATAACTATTTAATTACACTGGGCAACAATATTAAAAAAAAAAAATTGTGCCATGCATAATTGCAATCATTTTTACTTAATATGGGGTTGCTAAACACGTCTATAGTAATAAAATTGCACAATTGGTAATAGTTTTTGAAAAATAAAAATGTTTATTCAATAATATAAATATATGAAAATTGAACGTTTTTTAACATTTATGTAATTTTTCTTTTTCGAATTTGGCGCTTATACCTCACATCTTGCTCTTTAATTGTCAAATCTAGGTGCGAATGTAGAAAGTGAACTTTTAAAGACATATTGCAACCTAGATTTTTATATGCAGTTAACAAATTTTGCACTATGTCTTTAAATTCTCGGCTCGGTGGTTTCCAAAAAAATTCGTTGCAACTTTTTTAAAGGCAGTCCAGTAATGATGTTCTCAAAATCTTTATCTTTGATGAGTTCTCTAATTTAAGGACCTATAAATATGCCTTCACCGCAAATGTGGCAAAAACTGTCACTACTATTTTTACAATTTCGCGGCATTTTTTTTTATACAAAAATGCCCTATATATACTTTTAAACTAACACAAAATTTAAAACTAATTTGTTTTATAAGAATGGCAACTTTTCTAGAAAGTTTTTTTGACAGTTGATGTCAGTGATTTGTTTACTATGGTAACTGGATTTATTAAAAAGACCGTAGCAATTAAACATTTTGTGAAAATATGTATGTATGTTATTAAAAAACTATAACCAAAGGAGACTTTCTATTATCAATTTTGTATTGAGTATGCGTAAATTAGTAAGATTTTATTATTTACACTTCCGGCACAAAATGACTGTTGCCCAGTGTTATTAATAATTACTTAGTTTAATCATCCGTACCAGTGATCTACATCTACATCCGGATTTCCGCGTTACGAAGATTGATTTACGCACAAGAAAATTATTTAAAACTTCTGCAGGAATTATGACAGTGTCGTTCTCAGGAAATTATAATGAAATTCAAGTGCATGAAAAACATCTTGATTCAAAAAGGAGGATTATTAATTATCTGCGCTGTCACTGCCGCAAGATTTGATTAAATCGTCGCTTAAGATATTCATTTGGGTAAATTTCTTGTAATTTGTGATGGTGGTAGCAGCGTTTTAGTAATTAAGGTATTTCTGATTAATCTTTTTCTGTTCCTGTACCTGTTCCACGGTTCGAATAATTTTATGTCGAGATTTGGTAGAAATTGTTTATTGTTGGTTGTATGTAGGCACATCTTTTAACACGTTTGTAGTAGGTGCTGCATAAGCTGCTTAACATCAATGGAATTTGTTTATTGTTATGAATTTCGCTATTTCTTGTAATAGTAACACAAGAATATTTTTAAGAAGAGACTTGCTTTTTTGGAGCTTTTTGACTCAGTTTTTTCATTTTTATCTCTTTTGTTAGGTACTAGTTTACTTGATTTTTCGCCTTTTTTTCGTGTTTTTGTCATATTTTTCCATTTTTCAAAGTCATCTGTTTGCTTTTTCATCGCTTTTTTTGAAGCCTTTTTTGTGCCTTTTTATCGCCTTTTTTGTGATTTTTTGTCACCTTTTCTTTAATCACTTTCTTTAGTTTTTTGGTCCTTTTTTAAATCTGTTTTTTGCGCTTTTTTGTCCTTAATAATGTTTTTTGTTGTTTTCTTTTGTCGCTGTTTTTTTTGATCGATTTTCTTGCGATTTTTATCGTTTTTCATTTTGTATCGTTTTTATCGTTTTTTGTCCCCTGTGGCCTTCTTTTTTTTTTGTTCCTTTTATTATTGTCCCCTTTTCGTCATCCCTTTTGACAACTTTGTTTACGCCTTTCTTTGGCTCTTGTTGTTTTTCTATCTCCTTTTTTTGTTTTTTTTTGTCGCTATTTCGTTTTTTGTGACCTTTCTTTGTCCCACAAAAGACTACAAAAAAAAAACGCAACAAGAAAAGGACTAAAATATGTGAGGAAAAAGCACTAAAAAGTGACGAAAAAAAAACAAAAAAGATGACTAAAAAGAATAAAAATGCCACAAAAAAATGTAACAATAAAACCAACAAAAGGCCAAAAAAAGGTTACTAAAAAAGAATTTGAATTTGTCGTAGATTATGAATCCGAAATCACTTATATTTTACCCCTTGAAGTCATCGAAAAAACAGTTTTTAAAAACTGAAAAATTTCTTTTGTGTAAAGAAGAAAAATTTTGTAAAAAAGTTTTCTCAGTTCACAAATCTGGAGTGAGTTTTGTTCTGATTCTTCAAATACTTAATTCAGCAGAATAAGAAAATATTTTTTATAAATAAAAGTATAAATTGGCCACATCGAATGAAAAAAGTAATTAGCTTATTGAGAAATTCTTGGCAGATTACAAGTGAAAAATTTAAAAAGACGTTAAATTGGCCTGAAGTGGAACAGAAAACTCTTTAGCATGATTACAATAACCACCACTGACACATATTTTGAAAAATTTTTGGAAATTATGTTCCTTTTTTTGGTGAAATTTTTTTCAATTTTTTTGTCGCCTTCTTTTGACACTTTTTTGCGTTTTTTGTCCTTACTATTGTTTTTTTCTTTTGTCGCTGTTTTGATCGATTTTCTTGCGGTTTTTGTCGTTTTTCATTTTTTACCGTTTTTATCGCTTTTTTGTCGCGTGTTGTCTTCTTTTAATACTTTTTTTTGTTCCTTTTATTATTGTCCCCTTTTCGTCATCCCTTTTGACAACTTTTTTTACGCCTTTCTTTGGCTCTTGTTGTTGTTCTATCTCCTTTTTTTGTTTTTTTTTTTTGGTCGCTATTTCGTTTTTTGTGACCTTTCTTTGCCCCACAAAAGACTACAAAAAAAACGCAACAAGAAAAGGACTAAAATACGTGAGGAAAAAGCACAAAAAGTCTCGAAAAAAAAACAAAAAAGATGACTAAAAACAATAAAAATGCCACAAAAAATGTAACAATATAACCAACAAAAGGCCAGACAAAGGTTACTAAAAAAGAATTTGAATTTTTCATAGATTATGAATCTGAAATCACTTATGTTTTACCCCTTGAAGTCATCGAAAAAACAATTTTCCAAAAACTGTGAAAAATTTCTTTTGTGTAGAGAAAAAAATTTTTGTATAAAATCTTCTGAGTTCACAAATCTGGAGTGAGTATTGTTCTGCCCCTTCGAATACTTAATTCAACAAAATAAGAATTAATTTTTCAAATATTTTTTATAAAAAAAAAGTATAAATTGGTCACATTCGACTGAAAAAAGTAAATAGCTTATTGAGAAATTCTTGGCAGATTACGAGTCAAAAATTTAAAAAGACGTTAAATTGGCCTGAACTGGAACAGAAAAGTCTTTAGCATGATTACAATAACCTTCACTGACACATATTTTGTTCCTTTTTTTTTGTCGCCTTCTTTTCACACTTTTTTGCGTTTTTTGTCCTTACTATTGTTTTTTATTGTTTTCTTTTGTTGCTGTTTTGATCGATTTTCTTGCGATTTTTATCGTTTTTCATTTTTTATCGTTTTTATCGCTTTTTTGTCCCGTGTTGTCTTCTTTTTTTTGTTCCTTTTATTATTGTCCCCTTTTCGTCATCCCTTTTGACAACTTTTTTTAGGCCTTTCTTTGGTTCTTATTTGTTTTCCATCTTCTTTTTTTGTTTTTTTTTGGTCGCTATTTCGTTTTTTTGTGATCTTACTTTGTCCCACAAAAGACTACAAAAAAAAACGCGACAAGAAATGGACTAAAATACCTGATTAAAAAGCACTAAAAAGTGACGAAAAAGAAACAAAAAAGATGACTAAACAATAAAAATGCCACAAAAAATGTAACAATAAAAACCAACAAAAGGCCAAAAAAAAGGTTACTAAAAAAGAATTTGAATTTTTCATAGATTATGAATCTGAAATAATCACTTATGTTTTACCCCTTGAAGTCATCGAAAAAACAGTTTTTCAAAAACTCTGAAAAACTTCTTTTGTGTAGAGAAGAAAAATTTTGTAAAAAATCTTCTCAGTTCACAAAACAAGAAAAGGACTAAAATACGTAAGGAAAAAGCACAAAAAGTCTCGAAAAAAGAACAAAAAAGATGACTAAAAACAATAAAAATGCAACAAAAAATGTAACAATAAAAACCGACAAAAGGCCAAAAAAAGGTTACTAGAAAAGAATTCGAATTTTTCATAGATTACGAATCTGAAATCACTTATGTTTTACTCCTTGAAGTCATCGAAAAAACAGTTTTCCAAAAACTGTGAAAAAATTCTTTTGTGTAGAGAAGAAAATTTTGTAAAAAAGTCTTCTCAGTTCACAAATCTGGAGGGAGTTTTGTTCTGCCTCTTAATTCAGCAAAATAAGAATTTATTTTTCAAATATTTTTTATAAAAAAAGTATAAATTGGCCACATTCGAATGAAAAAAGTAAATAGCTTATTGAGAAATTCTTGGCAGATTACGAGTCAAAAATTTAAAAATGTTTTAAATCGTTTTATCGTTTTATCGTTTTTATGGCTTTTTTGTCCCCTGTTGTCTTTTTTTTAATACTTTTTTTTGTTCCTTTTATTATTGTCCCCTTGTCGTCATCCCTCTTGACAACTTTTTTTACGCTTTTCTTTGGCTTATTGTTTTTCTATCTCCTTTTTTTGTTTTTTTTTTTGGTCGCAATTTCGTTTTTTTGTGACCTTTCTTTGTTTCTCAAAAGACTACAAAAAAAAAACACG